CAGGTCAATTGACTCAAATCGGAGAACTCAAGAAAAACCTTATAGCCCTCGAATGGAACAAGTTAGGAACGTCGACCTTGCGTAAATTCGAACGAAAAATGGCATCAGAATATCGTTTTTGACGATCTCCATGAAGAATTCATCTGATCGGTTAGTTACTAATCAATCAAAGTTTGATATACTTCGATAGTTTCAAGTTTTCTCTCTTGATTGATGAAAACTCAAGAGGAAAAGTGCAGTTCAGAACCTCAGCACCTTTTGGTACTGAAAGTCAGTAGTGGTAGGAGTGTACAGCTCACATTCGAAACAGCTGTTTCTCAGCTATAGTAAGGACAAAACATTCCGATGTTTGGGTCAAATGAAAGAAGGTCTCGGACAATCCCAGGATTGGTTCGAACAAGCCTATGCTTTGCTCTTACAATAGCTGAGAAACAGCTTCACGCAATTTGATTAGTTGATACGAAAATGCTATCAACCGATCAGATTTCAGCAGGGATTTTTACTCTCTAGTAAGGTCAAAAGATAGGCTTGTTCAGGCCAATCCTGGAGTCATTCGGATCCCTCTTTTATTTGACCCGAACATCGATGTTGTGTTCCTACAATAGTTAAGAAACAGTTGTCTTGAATGTGAGCTGTACATCCCTACCACTACTAACTTTCAGTACCAAAAGATGCTCAGATGCTAGGAGTTCTGCACTTACACTTTTCTCCTTATGAGAACAACAGCACCATTGCAGCTTCATCTCAACACTTTTCTGACACCTCGGTGCCAGCTCACCACCTTTTCAGTACCTTTGAAAATAATTTGGTATATGGTGTCTGGACTTTCCTCCTTGTGAAAACTGCAGGTCTCTATGATGTTCTATTAAAAGTTATTCAAAAGAAGCAGTGAAACACATTATATTTTGAAGTGGATAGTAGGATATCAAATGTGAATAAGAACTTTCTTTCGTTTTTTTTTCTCGATCATGCAATTAATTGGATTCAAACTTTCTATAGGCACTTTGACTGAATTTGAAGACTTAATTTGATAACTTTTATAAATTTTTCACAATTAATAAAAAGGAAACACATTTGTGATCACACTTGCAGTATTTTGATTCTCTTCAGTCTGAAGAAAAATATTTTCCAAAAATTATACCGTCAAAGATTGAAGCTTTCTCTAAACTTCGAATAGAAATGTGCAGAGTAAGCCTTTTTTGTAGCCTGACTGAGAAAAATTTCGTAAGTCTTACACGACGCTACAGAGTAAGGTAACCCTACAATATCTCTAAATTGTTAAAGAGAAGGTTTCTCTACATCTTCCTATAGAAAATGATTATAATTTTCTTAAAACAAGCAACTATGATTTATTTTACATGGTTTATTGATTATCTTCTCAGTTTGTTTTTCATACTTCTAACATGTTTTTGAATTTTGGACTTACATAATATATTCTAAAAATTTATTTCAAAATACTAAAATTCATTGAACTTGAAACTTTACCTGGTCTGATACTAGATAAAATAATAGATAGTGAAAGTGATGCTAATATTCGAGGAGTGTTTGCTAAATATCCGACATATGATAATGTTCGATTGCCAATATCTCTCTGATCGAATACTAAGCTAACAGTAGTATTGGGTGTGCTTGAGATAACTTCATTATCTAATAACCACATGCAAGTTAATCGAAATGGACAATATGCAGATACACTATACACTTGTACGTTTGAATCAATAGAGAATGAAGTTGGACCAGTGACTATATATGTTGTATTATCTAAAATGATAATGTGAATTTTTGATTTTATATTTTGTTTTTATCATTTCTCACCTGGTGGCATTCGTGACGGTAATCGTTGTGAAAAATGAAAGAAAAGACTATGTGGATCAAAATTAGAACTTGATTGTAATCTTAAAAGACATCTAACATAAGCAAATGAAAAACCTGTATGTAATATGTCTAAGACATGTCCAAGATCTTGACGATTTGATATATATGTGATTGGATTACCAAATCCATCACGTATAATGTCACCATTGTCATTATGAAAACTCATCTGTATATTAATTATTTGATTTATATTACCTAATTGTCCAATTAATATTTGTCTGTCAAAGAAATTAGTAATACGAGGATTAAATTGTACTTCATATACATCATTTTCTGTTCTGCTATCTGTTATAATATCTGATAGACTTTCAAATGATACAGTATTACCTGGATAAAAATTATTTAATCTACTTGTGAACTCTTCTAAATAGATGAGGACAACAAAAATCAACAGTAGAAAATTTATTTTTAATGTGTAAGTTAATTTTTTAACCTGATAACCAATCATCATTACTGGTAGAAAATGAAGATAAACCTAACAGATTATCATCCATGTTTTGACCATGTACAATAATAAACTATAAAATAAAATATTAAAAAAAATAAAATTTCAAAAATGAAATATTTACTCGATAAATTGATATGAAAATAATCGATGTAAAAAACGTCATAACAACGCTGTTTATTAGAGACAACATATCAATGACGGATAATCTCATATAAAGTTTTTTTTGCTTTTTTTTATATGATGACAAGAAAAAAAGAAACAGATGTAATTTAAAACAGATTATTTTTTATGAAACATTTCTTGAAATTAGAACACATTACAATTGTATACAGACAAATAGAAAAATCTAGAATTAATTACTTTTCTTAAATCAATTTTTCTATTCAAATAAAGAAAAAAAGACACAAATAGATATCAATCGTTTATTTTTTGTTGGAGTAGAATTGTCTACTGGATTAATTACTCTATCTTTTTTATTATAGTAGATAGTATGATCAATCGTTATTGAGATAGTCAATGATACATTTTAGCCGATACTTGATTGAATAAACATCGCTAAAGCTATTTATTTAACTTTTCAAGATTTGCGAATGTTGGGTTTTTTTTTGCGAGCGCTTATAGTCTTAATGGAAAGATAAACAAACTCCAGGCAAGATTTTTATGAATAATTTAGTAAATACTTAAGTATGATTAGCTACTAAATTTCTTTCAAAAATGTTTCTCTATTTATTAATTAAAATGTGAGAAAATTTAAGTTATAACATGTTATTATAAACATATCGCTTCTAAAGTAGAATATGTACTATCCGTTATATCGAACATTAAATGTTGAATTTGTTTTTGTATATTGTCATCTGGTTTTATTTTCTCTATCCAAATTTGAGTTTATCTACTAAAAGAATAGAAAATCTGGATTTGTTTTTCTCAATAACAAATTATTTGAATATGTTTTTAGATCATTGATTAAATATTTTTACTTTAATCGATTTATTTTTTTAGTATTTAGTATTTGATGGCATAATTGTTCTTTTGTTTTATTCGATATTATATAAAAATATTAAAACATGTTAATCAGACATGTCATTTATTTAAAAAGATTTCCTTCGATTTAATAATTTAAATTGATCAGCTTCTTGTAAAATGAAACACAAGTATTCAAGGATTATTGCAACTGAACTTTCATAAAGAAATGATAATAAGACAAATATCGAAAGAATATTTATCTTCATTAATATTTTAAAATGATTGAAATTTCTTTTTCGTTTTTTGAATAATACATCAACCAAAATATAAAAGTTATAATTAAATATTTGACTGTGTAAGTGTTACATAAACATGTCTTGGAAAGAAAAAGTGTCAGTCAATAAACTCCCTTTAAATATGAAACTCTGATTTTTTTTTGTGAACTTGTTTCTGCCTGTAATTCAATTTAAAGTTATAAATCAAACCCTAATACAGGAATATCAACTTAACTATCTCCACTGTACGAAGAACAAATTTGAATTCGATCTGTTGAGTACCAATATGCTCAACATTTGAAATTTTTATTAGCATAGAATTGAAATAGATCTAGTGACACATTTCATATAGAGTTATCTCGAATAGAAAGTATAAAGGTAACTAGTGCTTCTGAAAACATTTCTTTTTGTCTAACAAAGTTGATGAAAATGTGGTGTTGGTCTTTGATGGTTCCTCGATTGTAATCTTTTCAGTTCTTTGTGAAATCATTTCTCTCGAATGATAATGAAAAGTCAATTTTCAAAAAGATAGAATTTCTGTTTAGATCGCTATCGTAACTGAATTTTTCATATAACATACAACTTTTGTCGTTTACATACACCTTCTGTACAAGAGATGGATTCTATCGATGCTATAGAATCAGAAAGAATTAGTATGCGACGACATGGCCAAAAACTAATTAAACAATAAACTATTATGTAATACTTGTAAGGTTTTTATATAAAAAAAATTATTCAATTCTATTGAATTGCTATTTCAATCTTGAAGAAAGAACAGTATACTTTGCCTCACTTTCTGAATAGTAATTTTGCTTGTTCTATCATTCTGTTTATCAATAATTTATTTTTGTTTTTTCTATTCTTTTTTTGAACTTTTTCTATACTCCATCAAATTTTTTTCATCTACCCTTTTCAATAATGTACGTGCCATAGAATAAGTTAAAAAGAACTCTGACACTTGGTTCAAAAGAATCAACGTCATACATTATACAAAGATGGATACATGAAAATGATTAATGAAGTATAACGAGTGCATAGAATGAAACTTCAAACATTTTGCGTCTATATACAAATTACGAGACTAAATAAGAAGACAAAAGGAAATCACATATATACTCAAACGACAGTTAAAAAAAAGTAAATAATGAGAGATCTTTTGAGATTTGAATATCAATCTGATATGATATATTTGTTTAATTTTCATCATCGCTACTAAAATATCTTTGCAAAATAAAAACATGATATTTAAATTATTGTTTGAAATAATGTTCAATTATTGATATTCTAAGTAATTCAATCTTCTGTTACTTTCAAATATTATATCAAAATACAAAATTTAAATTGATCCAGTTTATTGAACATACTAATCATGCATGTATAAGAATACAAGAAACAAGAAACAAAAAAGAAAAAAAAATACAAAGTTCAGTGAATGTATCTCAAGCAACATTATGAGGAGTATTGTGACCAGCTTCGGTTCGGCGCGAGAAATGAACACGACCAGCAGCAAAAGCAGTCAAAGCGAGAGCGAACATAGTAAGTAAATGAGCTGTTTGATACAGATTAGCTGAATAATCATTATAAAGAAGATAACGAGCACCTTCAGCCATACCTGCAAGCATAAAAAGACATGCAAGAAAGAATAATGCTGGTGGAATAGAAGTAGCCCATGCAGAAAAGTAACGAAGTGCCATAATCGATGTAGCCACTATGCCAAAAGTAAGAAAGAGAATACCAACAATACATAGAGAACCGGCATTCTGCATACGTTGGTTGTAATCAGTCATCCATGCATTTGATGAACTATATCCTGGATAGCCATAGAGACTGCTATCACGATTTGTACAATTGTTTGTTACGCCGCTCGTTGAAACATCGCATGTATAGAAAAAGGTAGCACTATTAGTTTTTGCATATGTTCCAGTACCAGTTGAGACAAAAGCTGAATACCATCTCGGTGTACCAATACCAACACAAGCAAGTATTAAAGCTATTACACCAAAAGCAACTGCAATAAAGGCAATCATTTGACTAAAACTATCGGGTGGTAATCGAGCCATTTTTCTTTCTTTATTCTTAAATTTAAATAAAGAAAAATATATATTATAATTACTCGACATCTATACATACGTTCAATTTTTCAGTTGTATTGTTTGTTGAATTCTAGTTGAAAGTAACACGATATGCAAGGCTTTTATATCTTTGTATAGGTAACTAAGTGCGTTTTAAAATGAATATAGTAACGGGTTGCTATAGGATATTGTTTGTAAAAATACGTAATTTAATAATTATTCTTTTTTTACTTTGTTATAAATGTGTGAGAGAGTATGATAGAGTTCACATGTATGTGTACAACTCTTAAATTAAGTCGCAAAAAAAGCAAGAAAGAAAATAGCGTTACTTTTTGACAACAAATATATTTGTTCTAATAATGCATTCTATTGTTAGCGTCTACGTTGAAAAACTATCGTTGTATGTAAGTTCATCTCCTTTGTTCTTTCTTATTATTCTTGAGTCTTATTCGCTTAATAATTGAAGACGACAAATCAGGGATGAAAGAGGAAAATCAGAGAGAGAGAGAAAAAAATATATAAAACATCTCAATTATTAGAAATTACGCATATTTGATTCATATGACAACGAATAGGAAAGTACCGAACAGAAACGAAAGAATGACAGAGAGAGAGAGAGAGAGAGATTAGGAAAGAAAATAGTCTTCACAAGGTCTTTTCTTCGGCAGGGTAATGAGTAAACGACAGTTCTTAATTCATATGTCGTACAAGTATTCCATAATAAACAAAACAAAACCTTGCTACATAAAATTATTTTGTAATAAAACAAAAAAAAATACAATCAAATGTTTCGTCCACTAGTAATTACATACAACTAGATATTATGCAGACATACTAAACAAACATATAATTCATTAATACGGCATGAAATGCAGTATTCATGTGAATTGTTTTGTGTTACTGACTAGATGTACATATCTAAATGTTGCAATGATACTCGTTCATACGCGAAATAAGAATACTAATATCATATTACTTTCATCTATTTTCGAATCTGTAAAAGGAGGTTATATATTCTTTAAGGATAACCCAGTAGAAAAGTAAAGTCTTGTAAATTTCGGTTTTTATTTCAAGATACATGATAATTAAAACGAAAACAGGAAAGAAAAACTAGTTGGTATTCTCTGTGAATAAGTGATTTCATATATGAATTAATGGATTAAAAAAATGTAAAGTATCTATCAACATTCATAGAAAAAAAAATGAATCTAATAGAATAAAAGTACCTTTTTCGTAGAAAACAATGCGTACTCAATCGAAGAAACGATTATTTGTTTGTTATGAAATATCACTTTCTTAATAACCGACATTCGAATCAGTTTTATCTTGCTTCTAACACAACGCGAAAAGGAGAATTTCAGCTGTGCTAGGAAAAAAAATAACAATTTTTCACGATTAAGGGTGGAGTGAATGTCACATCTCTAGCCTGACCTTCACTGTTCATGTGTTATTTATCTTGTTTAATATAAACAATGAGGAGACTATAGTAACATTTTCTTAGTCTTACATGCATATAAAGAATATTGAACATCTCATGTCATTTGTTCTCGATCAAACAGTAGATGAGATTTTTTCATCGTAAAAAAATCCGGAAATGGATTCCGTTACTTGCTTTAACATAATAGATCTTGATTATAAAAGTAATTTAGTCAACTTCGTTTTTTTTTTCTTCATTTTCTTAATGACCTCGTGATTAAAAATTGCATATATTTATTTTGGAATTTGTTAAATGCACTAAACATACATTTTATTGTATGTCAAAGAGCAAAAGAACATTAGAGTTCATCAAGTTTGAATTTTAAGAGAATGAATATTGTACTCAATAACATTCTGTAAATCATTGGTAGATGTTCATTATAATTCTATAGAAACAAAAAAAACATTCAACTTCGACTATTTTCTTTTACTCTATTATACTTTTGTTGATTTCATACGCAATATTTTACTATGAAAGACTGTTTTTTCTATCTATTCATGTGTGCAAAATATCATTAGTCGATAATTAAATTGTAATGAATTTTTACATTAATGGAATTAACTTTCTTCGAGTTCAATAAGTTCATAAAGAAATACAAACTTACGACACGTGAGTGATATAGAGTAAATAAACGAATACTATTTTTAATATTTTCAATAGAGATTCTTGTCAGTAGTGAACGTTGAGTCAAAAATACTTCGGTTTTATTACATAAAATGATTTTTCTTTAATTAATACCACTTTATTCGTGATTGATTTTGAAAAAAAAAAAAGAAAATTTCTTTTGTGTGAGAAAATCATTTTATTAACAATCCGAATAAATCAACTTATCTATTCTCTAAAATTTCAAACTATATCGATTCTTATAAACTGTTGATGGATTCTCTTTGATTACAATTGCAATAATTATGTTGTAGAGTAAACAAATATTGCCTCAAGCATACTTTGAAATATTGTCTTAGACATTATTTTGCTTCTTTTTTCTTTCATTAATTTATACATTATAATTGATTGTGTAATTTCGAGAACTCAATCAAATCATTCGATCAGTATTCAAGTTCTAAATATTGAATTTTGAGAATCATTTTTTTTTCTTTCAGAACAAATTGTGAAACAGGCGAATAATTTTAAAAATCAAGATTCAACATAACAAATATTCATCAAATATGTTTCAATAATAGTAACTTTCGACCGATTTAAAAAGAAAGACAGTTCAAACTCTCAGTCTTGAAGATACTATCTTCAGTACATATGAGAAATTAGCAGTGGATTCGAGTAATATCGATAGTGGTTTGTCTAGGGACCCGTTTCTAAGTTTCTATTCATGTTTCATGTACAACTTGATGAGTTGTATTCAATAGTTTATTAAGATTCTCTGTAGTCAAATCATGTCTTAGAAAATTCTACAAATCTTCTATTTTGCAATAGGAGAAACAAGACTACGATAGTAAGTATGCCAACGATGCATTTAGGAAATTGTTCTACAGCTTCTATGTTTGTTTCAGGATGTGTAAATGTGAATGGGAATCAAGAAAAGACGAAGACCCTTGCCTACACCCATATACATTCATTAATGTTTCAATAGACGTCATATATAGCTTCTTTTTTGTGTACTTAACTTTTTAGTGCTGAATGTCCGTGTGCTTATCATTTCAATTTTCAACTTGACAAGTTCTATGCAATTGTACAATCAGATTTTTTTATAAGTTTCTATCATGTCTTCGAAAATTTCAAAATGCAAAAATATTTTGCTTTCAGATTCAATAATGGATTATGCAGTGGTCAAGCAGATTGTTTTCATGGTACTTGATATTGAGTGCTATTTTTCTTCAATGAAAATGATCGACTGGTTAGCAATTTGTTTTCTTCACTTTTCATTGATTGAATAATTCTGAATATGATCATATTTTCAAGCTTGAATCAATGAAAATAGTGTAAAATAAATTCCTTCAAGTGATTATACCTCTGTCTTTTTTCAGTGATATGTAATATGCTGTTCATGTTATCAAAATCAATTAAGTGAACTTACTGAACATTGTTGATGAATATTATTTTAAACAATTGATTCGCTCACAATATTATTATATTTTGATAGTGATCAACAAATATAAATTTTTGAATAAGAGAAAAGAAATAAATCAAACAAATTTTAGGTATAAAATGTACAATTAAAGTAATTGGTTAACAATAGTCGTGTCTTTAGATTGCACCAACGTTATGTTCAATAAAGACTTTCAACAATTCATGAAGACTGCTCAAATTAGTTTGATTTAGGTGTTGACTTGATGTAACTGACTGATTTATGATTATGTCAATGTCTACAAATATGTGATAAATAAGTTTTTACACCTCGATGACATCCGTATGGTAGGCAAAAGATACGGAAAATAATTAGAATACTAAGTGCAACAGTAAGGATGATAAACACAGTATTTGCTGTACTTATATTCCCTTGCATACGTAGACTGTTACCAGTTTGTTTACCTATGCTTCTGTTATGTTTTTTCTCTTGAATTTTCATCTGTTCATCGCAAGTAAGTGTTAAATTTGTATCAGATACAAATGGATATACTTTCGGAAGGCTAATATCGAATGAACGAGTTGGTTCAACAATAGAAGCAATATCTTCGTTTATTTGTTTTAAAATATATGGCTTCAACATATGACATCACTTATGGCCAATAAACTCTATATTATCCTCAAAGCAAAAGCTACCATTACAATGTAAGTGAACTATCATAAAATTTTTAAAAAATGGAACTTTTCAATTATGACACAGTTAATAACTGTTCTTGTCGACAATGTCATTACATCAGAATCTATTTTCTTCACCTATGAAGAATTTTAGAGAGAATTCTTAATGTGGCAATGGCATGAACGAGTGATTGAACGAAGTTTTTCCAGACACATTATTTAAATGTTGCTGCATAATGGGCAGATCTCGATAATTCGTGATAATCTCCAAAATCACATATAAACTACTTTGAACTTTCTCCTCCAATCAATATCTATATATTTCTATTCAAGTTATTTTGACTTTAGCCTGTAGAAAACTAGAAGAGCATATACAATCATAAGAATCAGACAAGAATTTAAGGACACCAAAAATTTATCTGGGGAAAGATAATGTTTGCCTCATAAACCAAGATTTGTTCTCTCATATAACAATCTTATGCTGAAGTATGTGTATATAATTTTGACTAACGACCAAGAAAAATAAGCATTTTGAAGGAATTACGGTAAGAATGTCCATTAATTTATATGGTAAAATATAAACTGTGATTGAATATATTATTAAAAAAAACCAGAAATTTTATTAAAACTAACATTCAATCCTCTATAAATATGATAAATTAACACCTTTGTTTCTAAGTGTTTTAATAGCTGTGTATTATAAAATCATTCGTTGTTGATCGGCTAATGTCTTTTATAAAATTCCTACATAATAGAATTATCGTAGATCAAATTGTGTCTAACGCAAAAAAACAAAATAAAATGAAAATAAATTGTTGATATATTTATTGTGTATGTATTCTGAAATTCTGCTTCATAGTTTTTTGTTTTTGATACAAGAAACAAAAGATTCATCTCCTTCATTTTTTAAATCCTTTCAAAGAATTTGTCTCCTAATTCTAACCTATCAATATCTGTATTCTAGATTAATGAAAATAAAATATGCTTGGTATTTTCTATAATTTATAAAATGGCCATATTTAATGTCTTCTATGTGACATCTGTATTATGTTCGCCTTATTGTTACCAAATACAGCCAGGACATTTATATTTAGATAACATCAAAATGTCTGTTATTTAGTATCCAATCAATTTCTTTTTTACTGATATGTGGGTGTGCATACTAGGTTTTTTTTTGCCATGTCATCTTGAAGTAAATATACGAGTTAAAAAAATCAATGAGTCAATAATAACGAATTAATATATTTGTATCAAAATTTTTTTCTAGACTTGTCATGAGAGAAAAAAAAATCTGTGTTGATTTGATTGACTTGAATAACACATCTTATAATTAAAGATTAATATTCTATAGCTTTTTTTCTTTTTCTTTTTCTTTTTCAAAGGCTTGTCCTAAAATGATTTCTATCCTTCTTTCTTTCTTTTTTTCATCTTATTTACACAATTTTCTCATCTATGAATTTATGTGTCTTCTTTATATTTGATATTTAGGAAGATTTCAGTTATAAAGATATGTCTGCATGTAGATAAAATATGTAGAAATATTTTATAACTGACAACAACCTAAATTAAACTTGAATTATTCGATTGTTCTTTTTTTTTTGAATTATACAAGGTTAGTCTGGAATATTCTCTTAAGAATTATTATATTTATAAATATATATACATAACATTTATTTTGTTCGATTTCTATCAATTTTTTCATATAATAAAAATAATAATTTTCTATTAACTAATATCCTTATGAATGCTTGTGACTGACCTACGAAAAAAATTAATTAATTAATTAATTAATAAAAAAATATTCTAATTTAGATAATTCATTCATCGTTCTCTCTATAGAAAATAATTTAACAAAATAGATTATTAACAAAAACGAGCCGTTGCATTTTTATTTTATTGAAAAAAGATAAAAATCATAACAAAAAAAAAAAAGAATGATTACTACGATAAAATTTTTGTATGTATTGCGAATACAAAATATTATCTTGTCCGGAAAGTTCGTGCAACTGATATTCTATGAAATCTTAAGTTAATAAGTACTACATTTATTCAATCGAATGACCTTCACTAGCGATTCCACATTGCCAACGAGCGATGTGTGGCTATTATCGAAGGTCATTACATTGATTAAATGCAGCACTTATTATCCTAAGGTTTCATAATATATGAGTTGTACGAACTTTCTGGACAAGGTAATATCATTTCAATTATTTCGCATTAAATAAGAGCTATAGTTATGAAAAAAGTTTATTCCAAAGACTTATAATAAATCATTATATACTTTATCGAAATTGGACATAGAGGGCCAAATTAAAACTGTCGCTGGCAAGGTAACGAATTTACGATACGAAGTGTCCATGACGTACACCAAGCGAGATAATATATTTTTTAGGTATTTACAATATATATTAGATACTGACAAATAGACCTCATCGAGTCCGGATCGGAAGAAAACTTGGATGTATATATTAATATTTTTTGAATTTTTTGAAAATTTTTGTTCATTTTATTCAAATATCTTTAATTTATTTTTAAGAAAGTAGAAAAAAAAACAAATCTTTTCATGACTATATACATACCTAAATCTAGTTACTATTGGCTTCGGATCCAGAAATTCTTGGACCAGTGGGCTCTACCCACAAATCAAAATTTTAGTACTATTTATTTTTATTTTTTTTTGTGATACTTGAATAGAGCTCGCCAAGTTACATAAGGAAACGTGTGTTTCATACTTAAAAATAAATTTTAAAAAGTTCCATACAAGTCAGAATGTTTTTGTCTATTTTATGCACCTCGACGAGTTCTATCCAACCATCATCAAAAAAAATAAAAATAAATGATGTCAAAATTTTGATTTCTAAATATCTTACATATACCTCTAAATTTCTAAAAAATGCATTATTTCACTCAGTGCATCTCATGGACAGTTCATGTTTTAAGTTTGTTAGTTTGGTAATGAGAGCTTTAATTTGATCCGCATATACTTTACTAACAGTAGAAGACCTTAGCTACCGAGAATAATAGACGTTTGGCTCTTTTTCCAGAGTTATTTAGCAACGGAAAAAAGCACTGAACGACATTAACGACAAGACTTAGACTGCTATTCTAGAACATTTCAAAATCTCTCTCGAAATTTTCAATGTTCTAAATCGTGCAGTTTTTGATTTTTACACAGATAAAAATTTATATTTAAGATGTCAAGGATGATGAGTAATGATGCATTGATTTGCCACAATAGTCATATGATCAACATAAAAAGCGTAACTAATCAAGTTAGAACTTTGTAGAATAACATTAATATCAATGTTTTTGAGATTATTGAGATATATAAAAATGTATTGAAACTTGCTGTAGATATAATTGATATGTACAACAGGTTTATTTGCTAAGACTACAGCTCATCGGGTCGAAGAATTTCTGGACTCGGACCAGGTCGAAACAAGATTTTTAGACACGGATCCGATCGGGTTTGGGTAAGATCCGATGAGCTGTAGCTAAAACAGATCACTTCTCTGGCGATCAATTATCTTGAAAAATAACTATAGTCTGCAAGAGACTTTTCACTTAACATATTTTGTGTTAGTATAATAAAGCTAAATAAACATATATGAGTTTCATATTTCAACCCTAGAGGAACTCTGCTAACAAGCTTTTCTTCAATAAATTCTAATTATATATTATGCATACAGTAGTCTGTTTATTTTCATTTCGATCGTTATTAATAGATAAATAAAACTGAATACTTTCATATAGGAAATAAGATTAGAATAAAAAAAGAAAGTTACAAGCAAATATATTTATTTCCAGACATGTTAACGATATGTTTTTTTTTCCATCTAAAATAATCGAACTATATTATCTAGTCGCTGGTTTGTGTTCATCATTAGCATTAAAATCGACATTTGCAGGAAATTGACCACGAATATTTCCAGGAGGTTTATAAAGAGCAACAACAAATAATCTTTGACCATTATAAGCATGACCGATACCTAATTCTTTTGAAATTTTCCATATTAATTGTGAAAAATGCGGAGCTGAAGATTCATTTTTAGCATTATAATTATGACGTTCTTCATACCAAGCAGCGACGATATGTTCACCTAGACATGACATAAAAAATCAATATAAATAAAATTAATAATTTTTCACCAGTTATTTTCGATGGATCGCCTGTATCAACTACAAAAATATTTTCATTATAATCATTGGATAATTGTATTGGCTGTTCATTAGCTTCAGCATGTGCACGTATTTGTGCTTTTTCATGTAAATCATTATTATTTTGAAGTTTATTGGCTTTCATTTGTGTACGATATTTATTATGTTGATCAAGAACTACTTGTTGAAATTCTTCTATTGGTATACCATGTGTTCCATTTGTTTCAGCAGCATAATCTAAATGATTACAAAGAAAAAGAGACAAACAAACCAAAGTCGTTTTATTTTTAAAACATTTACTTTGAGAATTAGCTTCATGTGATCCTCGTCCATTATTTCTTAAGGGGTCAGAATCATGATCCGCACCTTCATTATCTCGACTAGTATCTACAAAAATATAATTAAAAGAAAAAACAAAAATTATAGAAAAATCTCATTCATACCGTTATGTACTGGTATAGATGGAAGATCTATTTTAGCTAATTGTTCATATTCATTACGATTGAATGTATTAGATACATTTGCATCTATGTAAAAAGAAAAAAAATCAGTTTAAAAGAAAAAGAAAAACAATTAGTTACCTTTTGCTTGAACATTATCATGCATGAATAAACAACATATTGTGATGATAAATACTATCCAATGAGATAATACTAAGAACATTGTAAATCTTTGTGAATATTCTTATTCTTTCTTTTTTGTTTTTGTTAGTAGTCAAAACTATTTTAAAACAATTGTATTAATACAATTTGCTAAAATAAACCAGAACCGTTTGTTTCTATTTAATCCTATCTTTCTATTCTTTTTTGAGGATGTATGTTTATAATTAATATCAACGAAAAACTGCAGATGTGTTTTTGTTTAAAAAGTTTGGCATATACACCGCCTACATTTTGTCTTGAAACAGTAATGTTTGTAATTGTAAAAGTAATACCATAGGTATCTATAGATTGATATATGTTTCATATGGCTTGAATAGAATGATAATAAGATAAATAGAGTTTTTAACCAGAAAAATTGATTATGAAAATATAATTTAATAAATATTAGATGGTACCATGTTAGTTAGTTTATCAATATATTCATTTGATGTAAACTGTCTAAGAATAAAATAGACATTTCTAGAAATATTGTTTACTTTTTAAAATAATTGAATTGTTTTTACTTAATATATTAATGTTAGTGTTTATATATTATTCGAAACGATAAAAAAATCATTATGAATACGAATTATTATTGAATAGATCTCGCAAACGATGAATATAACAATTGTATGAAATAACAGGCTAATCGTTTTCATGCAAACTGATATATTATGAATAAGTCTCATTGACGAAAAAATACATGTAATTAATAGGTTGAAAAAGCTGATCATAACAACTTTATTAGAATAACTTCTTTGTGAAATTATCTTTCAACAATATAATCAGCAAAATAATAGGCTGAAAACATTTGTGACATACTCAATGATTGATTTTCTATTAAAATAAATGAATACATTGGATAGAGTATTGTTCATCTAATGAGTGATGTCGATTTTGAAACTTATTTAGAACTTCTATTTTTCTTCAATAGCTTCATTCTTATTATAAAACATCATTATCAATATTCAAAATGATTGTTATTTGTCTTTTTCTGCTGTGAAAAAATTGAAAACACTACATATCAATAGAATTATTGATTTGAATATTAGCAATAAGAATAATAAGAATATTTCTAGATTCTATATGAGAATGTATCCGCCTTGCAAACACCACACTTTTTTCTTGATATATTTTCGATATCAAAAAGAAAGAAACAACAACAAATATAATTAATAATCAGTAGAGTTATATAAAACACAAAAAAAATCAAAAATTTAGTTCATTGGTCTGAAATAATCATTATCAATAAAATGACGATCTCAACGTTTTCGTATTGTACCAATTGTACAACTTTGTTGACGATTATTATAAACTATTGGTACTAATCCACTGATTGGACATTGACAACTGCACATTTCAGTGCTTATTCGAGAAGATGGTATTGATGAAGGAACCATCGTTGCATCTGTTTCTATAATAGGCGGTGGCTATTCAAAAATTAAAAGTTAATAACATATGAAATTTATTTGATTAATACTCACAATGATCGGTGAAGGCATCATATGTATCCTTGGTGCTTGAATCTATTATAGACAAATAAGAGATTATTTAATTATATTTTCGATTGTTTTGCTTTTAAATATCGAAAATGATTGTTCAATATTCTGTTCTCACTACTATTGGTACCATAATATACATAATGAACACAAATGATTTTCATCATTCAAGAGAGAACACATAGAACCACCACACTAAGTCGAAATCTGATTGTTCAATCAGATTTCAACTTACTTTGATGGCTTCGGGTGTTCTATCTTGAATGGTGAAAATTTCAAATCTCTACATTGTTTCTATCAAAAGTTATTACAAAAAAATCCGTGTTTATTATATTTTAGCGATGATAGTAGTAAAAGTTTAAGTAAGAACTACAAAAATACGTTAATTTCTATTCAAATTCTTCATAGGAAATTATCTCTCAAGTAGTGCTCGTCGGATTCTATTCTCAAGAGACTTACTTCAATAGATATAGATGGAATCATTCCACTTGGTAAAGTTCTTTCAAAAACAGGTTGTTGTTCGATTGGTTGAGCATAACTAGAACTAACAGCAGATGATGGACTTGGCTAGAGAAAACAATTATAATTACTCTATTCGATATGATCAATTTTTCATTGAACCTACTATGATTCTAGATGAATATGTATGCTCAATGACTTGTACAGTCATTTGTCCCTAGAAAACACACGGTTTTAATATTAATCAAAAGGTATTAGATGTAAAATATATTAATTTTATACATACTGTGATATGTGGTGATGATAAAGTATCGTAGGCTGGAGCTGGAATTCTCTAAATTTATGAATTAAAAATAGAATATTATCTTTCAATATGATTTTAATATCAATTGTAAATAAGTCATTTTATATTGTTACTAAAATTCTGACTGTAGTACTTTATAATGCAAAGGGTAATTCGAATTCATTCACGTATAGATCTCATCTTTTCACATCTTGCAATTCAATTTAGATGAGCTTTTATGCATCAAATTTTGTACTGAAGTGGGATTTACAAATAATAAAAGTATTTAACAGATTTGATATAGGTCTTATAATATTAATTGTGCTAGGAGGCGGAGTAATCGATTGTTGTTTGATTTTTGTCTATGATATATGAAAATATAAAGTAAAGCTCATGAAGCCGAACCTTTTTAGGCTTTTCCTAATCTCACAGAGGCATGTCTATAGATCCAATATGAGCTAAAACAGCGAATATCAGTTGAGATAGTGTCCTCGCAAGTAATATTCATCTTCGATGTATTGGTTATTACCATTATAAATTATTCTTACCGGACTGTAGATCGGCTCGACGATAGTTGGTGGCAGCGTAGGTGAGAGTATCTGTTGTCCTTGTGCAATATTGATCGACGAAGGTTGATAAACAACAGGTTTGTCAATGGTTAAGATAGTTGCTGACGATTGACCTATCTGTTTCAATAGAGAATCACAATTCTGCAATTTATTTTCATTGAATATACAAAAATCTTGATACTCACAGGTGTATCAATTGCAGGTGATGGTAACCTAAGAACTGTTTCTTCTGGAGGAGGTTGTATCTATAGATTAAAATAAAAATAAAGATGAATAAATATCGAAAAGTATGATTGATTTTTCATCTAAGTAGTGTTTTGCTTCAGTTTATTGATTTTCACCATCTTAAGGTTTCCTTACTTCACTAAAAATGGTTCTTATAATGACTGGTGATGACATAGACGACGAAATAGCAGGTATTGGTTGTTGAATTATGTTTGTTTGTGGAATTTCAATCGGCGAAGGCTGATAAATAATGGGCTTCTCAATAAATTGAATAGTTGCTGATACGTTAACAGTCTGCTTAAAAAACAAATGATCGTCAAAAATTTTAATTTAAAAGTTCATTCTTACAGATGCATCAATAATGGGTGACGGTTGTGTAAGAACAATTGTTTGAGGGATTGATTGAATCTAATTATTAAACGAAAGTAAAGATGCATGAATTTTTAAAAAAAGCAGGACATAGATTCCTATCATGCCTAAATTATTCTTACCGGACTAAAGATATTACTAATTACAGCTGTTGGAGCAGGAGGCGCAACCATCGGTTGTTGTTGTTGTTGTTGTAAAAGAGGAACAGGTCTCCGGATGTTGGCTACCGAAGGTTGTTCGATAATTGAAATAGATGCTGATGTATCAACGATCTATTTCAATGCGGAATAACAATTAATAAGTTTTAATTTTATTGAAAATACAAAGATTCATACTTACAGGTGCATGCATTGCCGGTGATGGTTGTATGCGAACTATTTCTTGTGGAACTAGTTGTATCTAAACAGTATGAGTTATATTCAATAAATGATTGTAGATCTTCTCAGATGTCTCTGAAAATCAGCAAATCAATTCTAATTTTTCATCAATAAAGATCTCAAGATGGTTAATTCATTCTCGAAGTATAAGATTTTCTAATATTTCGTGTTCTCTGATATCAACATTAAAAATTCTGTTAACCAAAAAATAACCGAATTTCATATATATTTATCTCTCAAGTTAAGCGATACTAGAAAGTCAAATATTTTTAATATCCCGAGTTCATTGCAAATTTTATTTGACTAAAGTCGTCATGATTGAGTGACTACGGTGTTTGACATGTATCCATAATTTACTGTGTTTAAACCTCGGTATCACCAGTCATAGAATGACCCTGGACAAGACACTAACAGCTGTTTGTCTCGGATATCCCATCCGATAGTATGTTGACTAATTTGTGGCATACACCTGCTCTTGTGATTAGTTAGTGTTTATGGAGAGCTCAAGGACTCTACATTAGGCTGGCTTTCTGTCCAGAACTGCAATTAGTATTAATTGTAGAGAAAATATCTGGCTACTGAATCTGCTACTAGACAACCCTCATTATTTCATCTTGTGAGATTCTATCTTACCTAATCCTTTACTTTCATGTATTGATTTTTACTACTGTAGATTATTCTTACCGGACTAAAGATAGTTTCTATAACTGCCGATGGCACTTGAGATGATACAATGGGCTGTTGCTGTTCAATGACTACTGGAATCTCAGCGTCACTCGATGAAGATTGATCAAAAATACGTGTACCAATTATTGTTGGGGATGGTGATATTTGAACTATTAACTAATGAATATAATATGCAGCAAGATGTTAATTTTAATCAAATGTTGAAAGTTAATACTTACA